TATCTATATATCTAATCTATCTATTCTATCTCTCTCTCTCTCTCTCTCTATCTCTTCTCTCTCTCTCTCTCTCTCTCTCTCTCTCTCTTCTCTCTCTCTATTATATATAATATATATATATAATATATTATATATATATATATATATAAATGCACACACACACAAATACACAACCGTATGATTCATGAACGTACTCTACGTGGGCATACCTATCATCACTACCTTTAGTGTGATTCTATCATAAGACAGTAATAACAATCCGTGTCTCTAAAAGAACACAAAAAAAAACAAACAAACAAAACCGTCAAACATCAAAACCAGCTTGAAACCCTAACAAGATCAACAAATCCATTCAATAAACCCCATCCTTAGCTTGTCAACGTTGGATAAATTCTCATTTCGGATATTCTGATGCGGTTAAGGTTTACCCGAGTCTATTTTCAGAGGCCTTAGACCACCCAGCGCGCTTCCAAGACCACCCATCCTATTTCACAAAGGCCTTAGACCACCCAGCGCGCTTCCAAGACCAAGATATTTCACAAGGCCTTAGACCACCAGCGCGCTTCAAGACCAAGATATTTCACAAAGGCCTTAGACCACCCACAAGACCGAAGATATTTCACAAAGGCCTTAGACACCCAGCGCGCTTCAAGACCAAGATATTTCAAAGGCCTTAGACCACCCAGCGCGCTTCCAAGACCAAGATATTTCACAAAGGCCTTAGACCACCCAGCGCGCTTCCAAGACCAAGATATTTCACAAAGGCCTTAGACCACCCAGCGCGCTTCCAAGACCAAGATATTTCACAAGGCCTTAGACCACCAGCGCGCTTCCAAGACCAAGATATTTCACAAAGGCCTTAGACCACCAGCGCGCTTCCAAGACAAGATATTTCACAAAGGCTTAGAGCGCGCTTCCAAGACAAGATATTTCCCCTTAGACCACCCAGCGCGCTTCCAAGACCAAGATATTTTCACAAAGGCCTAGACCACCAGCGCGCTTCCAAGACCAAGATATTTCACAAAGGCCTTAGACCACCCCAGCGCGCTTCCAAGACCAAGATATTTCACAAAGGCCTTAGACCACCCAGCGCGCTTCCAAGACCAAGATATTTCACAAAGGCCTAGACCACCCAGCGCGCTTCCAAGACCAAGATATTTTCACAAAGGCCTTAGACCACCCAGCGCGCTTCCAAGACCAAGATATTTCACAAAGGCCTTAGACCACCCAGCGCGCTTCAAAGACCAAGATATTTCACAAAGGCCTTAGACCACCCAGCGCGCTTCCAAGACCAAGATATTTCACAAAGGCCTAGACCACCCAGCGCGCTTCAAGACCAAGATATTTCACAAAGGCCTAGACCACCCAGCGCGCCAAGACCAAGATATTTCACAAAGGCCTTAGACCACCCAGCGCGCTTCCAAGACCAAGATATTTCACAAAGGCCTTAGACCACCCAGCGCGCTTCCAAGACCAAGATATTTCACAAAGCCTTAGACCACCCAGCGCGCTTCCAAGACCAAGATATTTCACAAAGGCCTTAGACCAACCCAGCTTCCAGCCAAGATATTTCACAAAGGCCTTAGACCACCCAGCGCGCTTCCAAGACCAAGATATTTCACAAAGGCCTTAGACCACCCAGCGCGCTTCAAGACCAAGATATTTCACAAAGGCCTTAGACCACCCAGCGCTTCCAAGACCAAGATATTTTCACAAAGGCCTTAGACCACCCAGCGCGCTTCCAAGACCAAAGATATTTCACAAAGGCCTTAGAGACCACCCAGCGCGCTTCCAAGACCAAGATATTTCACAAAGGCCTTAGACCACCCAGCGCGCTTCCAAGACCCAAGATATTTCACAAAAGGCCTTAGACCACCCAGCGCGCTTCCAAGACAAGGTATTTCACAAAGGCCTTAGACCACCCAGCGCGCTTCCAAGACCAAGATATTTTCACAAGGCCTTAGACCACCCAGCGCGCTTCCAAGACCAAGATATTTCACAAAGGCCTTAGACCACCCAGCGCGCTTCCAGACCAAGAGGCCCACCCAGCGCGCTTCCAAGACCAAGATATTTCACAAAGGCCTTAGACCACCCAGCGCGCGCTTCCAAGACCAAGATATTTCACTTAGACCACCAGCGCGCCAAGGTATTTGGTAGACCACCCAGCGCGCTTCCAAGACCAAGATATTTCACAAAGGCCTTAGACCAGCCAGCCTTCAAGACCGGGCCTTGAGGCATTAACCACCCAGCGCGCTTCCAAGACCAAGTATTTTCACAAAGGCCTTAGACACCCAGCGCGCTTCCAAGAATATTTCACAAAGGCCTAGACCACCCAGCGCGCTTCCAAGACCAAGATATTTCACAAAGGCCTTAGACCACCAGCGCGCTTCAAGACCAAGATATTTCACAAAGGCTTAGACCACCCAGCGCGCTTCCAAGACCAAGATATTTCACAAAGGCTGAGACCACCCAGCGCGCTTCAAGACCAAGATATTTCACA